GACATCGTACATGCAGGTGTGGTTTCCAACAAGTTTTTGTGGGAAAATATAGACTCATTTCCTGCTTCACGAGAAGCATTTTGTAATGTATGTGGTCCCCAGTTCGACACTGCTGAACTAGATGTCGTGAGTTTATTCGAAAATATTTTCGATATAGCACTTGTGCAGCACATTGCTGATCAAACCAACAGATATGCTCAGCAAGAAATATCAAAAAGTGCCAATCCTCTCACATTTCGCTCTAGGATTAGGAAGTGGCAAGATGTTACAGTGGACGAAATTTACGTTCTTTTGGCTCTATTTATGTTGATGGGCATTGTGCAAAAGCCTACACTTAGATCTTACTATTCAAAGAACCGGCTGGTGTACACTCCGTTTTTTTCTGAAACTAAACTTCTAATCGACTTGCTTCCACTGCTCACACATCTCATCTTATAAGGTAAGATTATAAAACCATCTTTTAAGAGGATTTCAGTGAAAAATTCATAATTATATCTCATATAGTTCAAAAGTTATGAAAAAAAGAGTATTTTACAGCAAAATTTAAACGGGCATTTAAAAAATACTACCGCAGGAACAGCACGACAGCAGTATATGCGGGGTATTTAAACTACCACGTCGACGGGTTAATGTCAGTTGTGTCAGGGTCTCATCGTATATGGATTGTCTTCCACCCACATTCATCTGCTGCTTCCATCATCAAGGCAATCATAACCCTGATGATGGAAGCAGCAAGGACCTCTGAGTAGGAACTATACCTCATCTCTCTCCAAGCACCTACATGATGTCTAGTGGGACAGATTTTTACTTTTGCTATGTCAGACTTGATTATAGTGTTTAACAGTAAGTTTATTTTGCAAAAGATGCTGGTGGATGGCATGTAGTTGGAGTGGCATCTCACTGGAGATTTGCTTTGAAATTACAAAGGGAATTTCTGTTCTATGAGCTTTCATGGGTGCACTGTGAGACTGATCATATATATATATATATATATAAGTGATGAGAAGGGAGGTAAATCAGGGTGAGGATGGGAAGGCTTCATAAGTGTACTGAAGTGAAGAGAAGGTCCTGATGAAATGTGAGTGCATCAGTTCATGACGTATGTAATTCATTACTGTTACTGTCTTATGTCTAGTTGGTATTAATTTTTAAATTATCTACTTTAGGTTATCTGTTGTGTTTAAATACTTTTGCCTTGTGTGTTTTATTTTGAGTGTGGTGTGTTATTTTGTGTGATGTGTATTGTTTTGTTGTGTCTTATGGTTTTTTGTGTCTTATTGTTTTGTTGTGTCTCATTGTAGCTCCACTGACACCAGGTATAAACCCATTTGCAGTTAATAATAAATAATAATAATATAGAGAGAGAGAGAGAGTGGGGGGGGTTATATTAGACTTTGTAATTCAGATTTCTCCCTTAAATATTGTTCAAATCTGTAACTGAACAAATCAGATTTTTAAGGCAAACTTTTGGTCACATGTAAAGCGGTAAACCGAATTATCTAAGTTTGTCAAATTTCAGTTCGGTCAGTAAATTTATTCGGTCCATGTTGAGATATTTTACATATTAGAACTGATCGTGCTTGTAGACACTTTCTATAAAAGCGTGTTTTATCTCATTGTTTTTACAGGTTACTAAACTTTGATGTGGACAAGTGGGTGCATCTGAATTGTGCCCTGTGGTCAGATGACGTGTATGAGACCGTGAATGGCGCACTGATGAATCTAGAGAATTCACTACAGCAAAGTCTTGTACTTAGCTGCGTTGTATGTCATCGCATGGGCGCTACAATTCGCTGCTTCAAACTTCGCTGCTCAAATGTTTATCACCTGGGTTGTGCTGTTAAAGATGGCTGTGTTTTCTTCAAGAACAAGGTGATTTTAGGTGAAAGGTGTTAAGATTGTCGTATGTCATTGTTTTGGCCACGTTTTCTATTAACCCATAGAAAAAATTTTTCTCGTGTCTTAGTTGCTAAGCCCTGTGTTCTCTTTCAGTGTTTTATTCTAAAATTATGCATTTATTTCTTTCAACAGTCTACTTACTGCTCTGCTCATATCCCAAAGAATGAGAAGGATAACGAACTAACGACATTGTCAGTGTTCCGACGAGTGTATGTGAATCGCGATGAGAATCGTCAGGTGGCAACTGTGATGCATCAGGATCATAACAATCTTTTACGAGTCGGCAGTCTCATCTTCCTGAGTGTGGGTCAACTGTTGCCTCACCAACTTCAAGCCTTCCACACACCTAACTACATTTATCCAATTGGATACAAGATTGTAAGTTTGTAGTTATGGTGTTGTATTATTTACAGAGTAATTTGGATTATCTGTGTTATGATGCTGTGAAAATGGAAGCTGTAAATACATCCTTTGATGTAATTGGAGCACTCCTGTCTTCCAGGCCCCTGCAATGTCTTCATTTACACTTTTGGATTTCCCACACATAATCCTGTAGCTAAGCCCAGCACGCTTTCTGAGTCGATCAAGCCATCCATTTGAAGGTGTTAATTCAGTGTTTCTGTCTAGCATCAGACATTGAATTTGTGTACTTAATACCAGTTTCTGCCTAAATGACTCTAGAAGCACTGATTCAGTCTTCTTATGCTTACGAGTCTGTAGCTTGTTCCTGCTCGGCTTAGAAATTATACGTTGTTGAAGTATATTTTCCTTGCTCACCACAAAATTGTTTAGCATTGGCACTTGTTTGCTGAGTTGTTTGTTGAGTGGTTTGTCATTTACCTTCTTAATGATCTCCAGTTTCTCAGAAACTGATAATACTTTACATTTTATGTTGTCATGTATAATGCTGTATGTAATACACAAGTCAGTTTTCTTACTACTTCATAAGATTTAGCACACATGTTCATGAAACTTAACCTTTCGTACAAAGACCATGCTATCAGCTTCAAATACTTCAATAGATGTAATCAGGAAGTCACCACCAATTCTGCTTAACTTGGCATTAATGAGTGCTGCTAAGCACTTGTGATATGTTTGATTTATGTGAGCATCTGTTTTGTTCCCTGTTCTTTTCTGTAATCTGATTAAACTTATTAAATGAGTAAAATGTTTGATACACGTCTGTAAAATTGCTCTTCTTAGGTGACATGTTCTTTTATGCAGGAAGTATTTTAACTTTTGGATATGATCACCATACTGTACTTAAAACTTTGTGTTCAAGTCAAAGCACTTTGTTGTTTTATTTAGGGTTAAACACCTTATAAACTTAAACAGGAAGCATAATTAGATAAAGGTTTTCAGCTCCTGACACAATACGTAATGACACAGGCAACTGGACTGAAGAGCAAGTTCAGGGGATCTCATGTTATTGACATCTTTGATTGGCTAAACCAGTGGTTCCCAGAGTGGGCTGTACCGCCCCCTGGGGGGGCAGTGGAGGTGGGCCCCTCCGAGCATGTTGTTTGCTTATTTACGATTGCCCAGGCTAGAGCCTATACTCCAGGCTCTAGCCCTAGAGCAAAATACCTTCCTCACTTTGTCTTTAAAGTTTTACTGTTTTGTCAGTCCCATCCATCTCATTAAGAATTTAGTAACAGTAAAGTGGTTACTAAATGTGGTATCTGAGAATCAAGCTAAATGACTATCAGACTTTGAAAAGCTGGTATCGCTGGATCATGTTCATCAATTTTGTTGAATAAATTAAACTAATAACTTCTAATTGGATTTTGAATAAATGTGTGATTAATTGTTACTGTTTTGAATTTTATTTTCATTGTCTTCCTCAGTGGGTCCTGCAAACCGCTGTTCTGAAGAATGCTTTTTGTAGGGTAGGATAGAGTATTGGGTACTGGGGATTAGTTTATGGAAACAAGGGGTTGGTGGCCTGAAAAAGTTTGGAACCACACTGGGCTAAACTTTGAAAGGGGGAAGTTGCAGATTTTGGAATGCATAGTTTTTTCTAGACATGATGAGAGGGACATAGACAGTGGGTTGACATTGCTTTTGTGGCTCACCTACTGTGATAGCTTTGAAAGCTAAATTGCAGATACATTCAGACCAAATTGTTAATTGAAAGTGGTGGCAGCTACTTAGCAGTCAGTCATTGTGACAAAGGCCCCCTAGAAAGAATACCCTATTTTATATGAGATTTTTTGCACACACAGAATTGATAAATTGACAGTGCAGATGATTTTGCTTGCTGTAATGAAGTCTCGTTATAGGCCATACTTAATATTGTTACTGTTATACTGTATTTGGGTTTGTAAGTGGGTCAAGTGAATATATTTTGTCTCTCTCTGGCCATAGGTTCGCTTCTATTGGAGCATGAGGGTACCAAACAAACGATGTCGTTATGTCTGTTCCATCCACGATGTGGCCGGTCGTCCTGAGTTCCGAGTGCTGGTCCAGGAGCCGTGTCAGGATGACCTGGAACTGCGTGACTGCACACCTCGTGCTGTGTGGGCCAGAATTCTTGAACCCCTTGCATCCCTCAGGAAGGAGATGGGAGGTGTGCAGGTGTTCCCTCGTTTCATTTCTGGAGAGGATCTCTTTGGCTTGACAGAACCTGCTGTTGTCCGAGTGCTAGAAAGTCTGCCAGGTACGATTTAGTTTCTTCATACTTCAGATATCACATATGTCATGCAGAAGAGAATTGGAGGATGTCAGTGGATATATCCCAGTTAGGCGAAGGAAATGTAATCGTTTTGTCAGATCGGGCATAAGTAGACCATTGTGAACTGTTGAAATTATTCTGCTGTGGCTCTTGAAATCCTCGTAGATGTGATGTCCTTCCATCTGTTACTTATAATGTCTTGTTACCTTTTTAGCTCTAATGTAAGCAAAGAAGACATTTGCTTTGGACTGAGTAAAAGTTTGCTCGTAAAGTGAACAGTAAAGTTGTCCCTGGTTCTTAATTAAGCATCTTGCCATGAAGAAGTATCATAACTAATTTGCTACTCTTACTATACATTATATTTGGCCTTATTGTTTTCCATTTTAATTACTGCTGATTTTGCACTCTGTGATTAATTCTTTTGTTAACAGGAGTTGAAACCCTGACGGACTATCGATTCAAGTATGGAAGAAATCCGCTGTTGGAGTTGCCACTGGCTGTAAATCCAACTGGCTGTGCCCGGACAGAACCCAAACTGAGAAACCAGTTCCTATGGAAGCGACCTCACACTCAAAGGACAGGATCATCGTCTAGACCAATTTTCGTTCCAACAGCAAGCATGGCTGGTGAAGCAGCATGCCCCTACTCCAAGCAGTTTGTCCACTCAAAGAGTTCCCAGTACAAAAAGATGAAACAAGAGTGGCGTAATAATGTTTACCTTGCCAGGTACTTTATTTTTCCAGCTGCTTCAGTTTTAGGGAGACAGATACCTCCCACATGGGAGGAGGCCAAGGCTTCGCTTCGGGCTGTTGCACCATAGAGTCAGTCAGTATTAGGGACATGAACCTGATTGTAGTCAGTGTATCGGTCAATTTTTCTCCTTCTTCTTCTTCTTATATCATTGAACCCTTACTACCGTTTACTTGTTATTTCATGAAGATAATAGTGGAGAGGGAAAGTCCTGTTCCAGGGCCAGTGGCGTCACCAGACCTTGACATGCTTGATTTTTTTCTCTCTGAAGCTATGAGGTGCGATCGGAAAGTTTCAAGACTGCGCGTATAAAAACCCGTACACTTATCTCAGGTATTAAATTCATCCATCACCCTCGAAGTAGTTCCCCTGGGAGTGAACACAACG